GAAAAGGAGGCCTCGGGTGTTAAGGGCTGAGGCTTTAGGGTTTAGGGTTTAGGGTTTAGGGTTTAGGGTTTAGGGTTTAGGGTTTAGGGTTTAGGGTTTAGGGTAAGATAAAGGAGCATCAAGTCATTAAGAGGCACCTTATAAGTTCAGATTTGCTCTTCTGTTGTTGTGATTCATTTGTCAATGGTGGAGGAGGGGGTCATGGCATAGGGGCAGTATATAGCATACGGAAATAACAACTGTATTGGGGTACGGTTACCAGTCATTCATACAACTGCATGACTCTCGCTCGAGGTGTAGATGGAGTTCAGGATATGCCGGTGCAGCCCAGTTGGAAGGGGGTAGCAACCGTTCTAGTGAGTCCAGTGCACAGCTTTATGAATATAGAACCCTCACCTTCTGTGGCCGAGTTTCGGCTTAGGAAACAGAGCTCTTAGGGGTTGAGGGACTTTGGGTGGAGGGTTTCAGGAATCAGGCATGGGGTTTATCCCCAGTGGCCTTACCTCAAGCATGTGCTTGGTCCAATGCTTGCGGTACCTGCACTCCAAACAGGGTCATCTCCACTTGCGGGGCTCTATGTCATCTCTTTAAGCGTCCATGTGCCCAAATCGTACATACTTGGGCCCCGAAGCACCTAGATAGGGACTACTCTCTAAGGCGAATGTGAATACTATTTGGGTACATGGACTCTCATAGGGATGTAGGCATCCGTTTACAGGTCCCGTACTTTTCGAAACTCCAAAGCAATTCTACGCGCTGTCCCAAGAAACCCACTAGGAAGTGCAGCTAAACTAACCAAATCCCCAGAAGGCCAGGCACACAACAACGACTTAAACATCACAGAAAGCTGAAGCAGTGAAACCAAGAAACAGGCTCTACCTATAGTCTCCATTGTAGTTCCTTTTTTGGTTTAACCAATTACATATTAAGGATTTTATAAAGTATCCCCCAAAAGGAACTACAATGGAGACTACAGGTACATCCCAAGCCACCATGCCTCGGATCGGCTCCTCGTACGCCCAAACGACCCTAAATCCCTAAATCCCTGATCCCTTAAACCCAAAACCCACCTAAACCCTAAACCCCAAGGCCCATAAACCCCTAACCCCTCAAGCCCTAAACCCGAAATCCCTGAGTCCCCAGAGCCCTAATGCCATGAAACCCTAAAACAAAACAACAAAACAGCTTCGAACCCCTTAAAGCCCTAAATCCCCAAAGCCAGAAAACCCTTTAAACAAAACACTAAACCCTAAATCCCTAAAGCCATAAAACCCTTTAACAAACACTAAACCCTAAATCCCTCAAGCCATAAAACCCTTTAAACAACACTAAACCCTAAATCCCTAAAGCCATAAAAACCCTTAAACAAAAACAAACTTTGAACCGCCGCCAGAGGCGCTCGGAGACCGCCGTCGCAACGACCCACCGTGGCGCGATCACTTTGCGGCGCCTGCCCGGATCGGTTCCCCAAACCTTTTCGGCCCAAAAACCTTAAGACATGAGTCCTTAGAGCCTTAGGGAAAGGGTCCAAGTACCAATATAGTACTTATAGTCTCCACTGTAGTTCCTTTGCAAGGTTGCCTTATAGAATCCCGAATATAACACTGGCCAAACCAAAAAAAGGAACTAGAATGGAGACTAGAGGTAGGTTCTAAGTAGATATTTGGGGCCCCAAAGAAGATACTATACTGTGACTTGGATCTCTTGGGTTCCTGGACAATAGGGATTACCACAAACCTAGCTACCTACATACCTACCCACCTACCTACCTGCCTACCTACCTAACTACCTAGCTACCTTCCTGCCTGCTACCTACCTACCCAATCCTGCCTACCTGCCTACCCAACCTACCCACCAACCTACCAGCCCCCTACCCACCTACCCACCCCTACCTACCTACCTACCTACCTACCTACCTACCTACCTACCCACCTACCTACCTACCCACCTGCCTACCTGGCTGCCTACCTAGTCACCTACCTACCTAGCTACCTACCTACCACCTACCTACCTACCTACCTACCTACCTACCTACCTACCTACCTACCTACCTCCCTCCCCCTCCCTACCTACCTACCTACCTACCTACCTACCTACCTACCTACCTACCTACCTACCTACCCACCGACCTGCCTCCTACCTACCTACCTACCTACCTACCTACCTGCCTCCTACCTACCTACCTACCTACCTACCTACCTACCTACCTACCTACCTACCTACCTACCGTCCTACCTTCCTACCTACCTACCCACCTACCTACCTGCCCCAAAGGAAGCTGAAAATGGCCCCCCAAGGAGGGCCGAAGCTCAAGATTCTTTGGGGTTTAGGGTTTGGGGTTTAGGGTTTAGGCTTTAGGGATCTGTACAACGGGCGTTGGGAATCACGGAGGTAATGAAGAGGACGAGACAAAACTCGAACATAGTATGATGCTGCACCAGATGCGGATAGCATGTCATGGTGTAGTAACATTAGCAATTGTAGCAATGGTCGATTTGGTAGTAGGTTAGGTGATGTTCAAAAATTTGGTATAGTGGTACTATCGTTAGTATTATTGGCGGTAGGCAGAGTAAGGATTAGCAGAATAGCTAAGCTCAGCAACCATGCCAGCATTGCTGGCCTTGCTTGCAATGTTTTTGATGTATACATACCATGATCAACTATTGTTTCCTGGGAAGATCAAAAAGAAGAACTGTAGTGTCGGCAGCATCAAGCAAACTACTTATGCTAGCCGCTAGCAGCGATAGTAGCACCCGTCTCAGGTGTGCACACCCGGTCCGCGCTGCATCTCGCAACATTGTCATAGTTTGGCACCACACAGCATCAAACAACAAGTCGTGATGTTGGCTGCCTTGCAAAAGCGTTGCGAGAAGCTGTTACCATGAAGTTGTAAGGGGTTTCGTTTTTTCGGGCACTCTGTGCCAAATAAAGTCGCTCGTCTCCTGTCCCATTCCATGCAATATCTCGTTCAGCGGCTCTCTGCTGTTTGGTGCTGATCACATCTAGATGTGTCGCACATGTTTGCGACCTCGAGCCCGTTCAGGAAAGTGCTGATTGCATTTTGCCTCAGATATGATATCGATCGCAGTTGTGTTAGTACGCGCTTTATTTTTGTTGGTATGTTTCGGCAGATCAAGATCGCACACGTTTGAGTTGTTTCACATGATACTCTTTCAAGACATGGTCCATGATACTTGAAGCATCCATGCCACCTCTGCCGATTTCAACCGCTTTATGATGAATTAATAATAAAGCAAGTGAGCAGTTGTCAGTTATGTCAGGACAGTCCTTGTAGCAGCCTTCGCAGAGTCCATGGTGTTGAGGGAACCTACCACTGTTCTTCTATAATATAGTATCATAGCATATCAGATAACACAGTTTCATATCATTTTTGTAACATAGTATCATATAATATATTATAATATGATGTAGCTGAAGATCATGCAGATAAACTAGTATAATAAAATACAACAAAATAAAGTAAAACATAATCATCTCAGCCCGCTATGGATCCTTGTTCGCAGCGAAAAGCAGGATGAGGCTCCAAGCTTGGAAAGAAGTCTGCCGGAAGGATCTGGGTTTAGGGGTTTACGGGCATCCTTGCTACGACACCTACCTGCAGCGCTGAATACGCTTAATGCTTGCGGCTGTTGCAAGAGAAGGCAGCCCTCCCGACCCAAATTCATCATCTGAGCATAAACGAATCTGCAGGCACCTGTGCGGCTCCGCTTCCCCGGTTCGTCGGGAAAGGCGCTGAGGCCGGAGGGGCTCGGTTTTTCTGGGCTTGTCTTGTCACACTGTGTGAGGAGTGTGGGAAGCCGCAAGCAAAAGGACACGTAACAGCTGGAATCCTTGGCACAAGCTACGGATTTTGTACCCTGTCTACTTCAGGCACTCGCTGCTTCTGCCGGCGCCCTGCTGACAGAAGGCTTGCTCTTGCGCAGGTGCCAGAGCTGTGGGCTTGGTAGGATCTGGGCAATCGATGGGAACATTCTGCTGCACTGCGCCATCCGCTGAATGGGTCCTGGCAGGTGCAGCTGAAGATTGCGGACATGCTGTCGTGGAGAGTTCAGGCTTACTCATGAGTCGATCCCTCAGCCCTGCATTCCTGGGCCTAAGCTTGGGTGGTTCTGGGGTTGAGGTGAAAACGTGAACCGTGCGCCGCAATGACGAGGAAGAGAGTGGTGATTCTGCGCACAGCTGTAGTTGGGTTACGTGCCACGGACCGGAAACTACAACTCTTTGCAGGCTCACGCCAACATCAGTTTCTGGAAACAGTTGTTTTTTTTGGATACTTCTACAGGTTGATCAAAAAACAGTTCGTTTGGAGTTGGTCTCCAGTTCTGATCTTTGGAACTTGGCCAAATTAAAGTTCGATTCAAAGTTAAAGTTGGTTGGATGTTCACTTGGAACAGCGCTCGAGTCGAAGCCGTCTTGCACAAAGCCGCATGTGCAGTGGGTTTGATTGGTCATGGCATTTCAAAATTTGTAAGCTCGTCGGCGACCTCAGCAATCAGATTCACATTGCGGAATCTCTTTTGTTAAGTCTGCGGAACCGGTTGGTTTGGGCCACACTTTTTCAAAGCAAGCGTCCGGAGAGCAAGAACTGTTGAGAGGGTTTTTGTTCCGGATGTTGTTTCGATATCAACTCCGCAATGTGAACAATCTTGTTTAGAGCCTGAGAACACATGGCTTCCCCGTTTTTTCAGAACAATGCACAAAGCTCGACAAACAGCTCGACAAACAGTGTTGAAAATCAACCTGAGATTTCTGAGGATCTGTAACTTCCCCGAGCCTGCTGGAAGCTCAACTTTGCGCTCAAGGCCCCTGCTGTAAAATCTGAATGTGAGCTGCGCAGAGGTCGTGATGCCCGCAGATCTTGAACTTGCTTTGTCATGCAGAGCCGTGCAAGTGCTTTAGCCAAACTCACATCCATATCCATGCATATGAGCTGCATGCAAAGCATGCGCGCAATGGTCCAGCTCATTTGTTGCTGGGCAATGGTGCCGTTGGTCGCCACCTATCGCACCGCGTCGAAGCAGCTTCACCCGACTCCCTGGACCGACTTCGAAAGCCTTACGCCAGAGGAGCTGCAGCGCTCAGTGTGGGAGCGGCTTCAGCAGAGTCAGAGCGCCAGCACGGAAGCGGAAGATTCCGAAGACTCCCCAGGCCCAGGCCAAGAGCTGCTTTTCTCGCAGATTCAGCAAGGCTGGAGAGAGAAAGGCACACCAAAGTGCTGGAGTCAGCTGGGGCGGCTCTTGGAGAGCTTGACGGACGAATGTCAAAGATCCCAGAAAGAAGAGCACTGGATCTTCGGTTTGTACAAGCCGAGGCCTGACGCAAAGACTTGCGCCGAGAGCGTTCGCGACGTTTTTCTGCAGGGCCAAAGGCTGGTTCAGACCATGGAAATGCCACGATCCAAGCTTGCTTCTCTTGATCTTCCTAACAACACGGTTCGTGAAATGCAGGCGCTGATGTACCTACAGTCGTGGTTCGTCCCCCTTGCACGCACGAAGAATTTTGCCCTGTTGTGGGCAGGTTTCTGGGATGGAGATCGCACAAATCGGACCACAACATCCGCCCTGTTCCAGTTTGCCAATGAAACGGACCATGATACAGTGCATCCGGACAGCATCATGGGACGACTCATCGAGGAAAGCCAGGATCTTAACGCCTGCTACGAAGATGCATCTACTAATCAGATGCTGCAGAACATGTGGACGTTCAGCAGCATGAGCTTCGTCTCTAACATGCGGGCGAAAGCCCAAGGCACAGTGGTTGCAGTAGTCAACAAGGGTCTCACGGGAGAACGGAACCTGTCCGAATCTGTGCTTTCTCAATACGAGATGCCGACGCTGGGAATCACAGCCTGGGGATTAGGAGGGTGGTCCCCGCACATCATCATCTTGGACATGAGAGGTACCTGTCACGACACGAGCCCCTCCCTTCGGGCGCAACTAGCTGCGCATTTACACTCCTGGTCCGGGCTCAGGGCCGAGAAAGGCAAAGACGAGACGAAGGCCTTTATGAAGCGGTCCCGCGCCAGCTGGGACTGCGTGGACTGTCCGCCGGACGCATGTAACCTGGATGCTGCCTTGGCCCAGCACATCCAGCACATGGTGGAGGCCGCGGGGAGCAAAGCTTCGTGTCTGCGTGTTTCCCAAGTTTGTTTCGGTTTTTCGGTTCGTGGAGAGCAGGCGAAGAAGACGCAGGATGATCTGAACGAGAAGCTGTTTGAGGCAGGGCCAGCATTTGGGGCCCGTGCTGTAGACAGGCTCCCAAACAATGAGCCCACTGAGCCCACCCTAAAGCTAATCTGATGCCCAACCTTCTGAGGCTGTGGGGTCCACGGGCCGCATGCGATCCGAGGCAGCAGAAATTGCCATCGACCAAGAGATGCTGAACACCGCAATCTCTGCCGCATTTCCTTCTGGACAAAGACAGTGGGGGAGCATTCTGAAAGAAGCGACACAAATAGACAAGACTCTGCGCAAACGAAGACATCACCTGGTCGGGTCCAAACTTCGGAGGGCCTTTGCACTGGGGGAACGCCAGAGAGACGTGGAGTCCCTGCTGCATCGCAAGGCGGACCCCCAAACCATGGAACTAGATGGCAGGACACCGCTCCACTATGCTGCTGTGAACGGTTACCTGCAGATCCTAGACATCCTTCTGCAGAACAAGGCCGACCTCAACGCTGCCGACCGGGGAGGAAACACCGCTCTCCTCTGCGCTGCACTGAATGGTCATGTCGAAGTCGTTGAGTCTTTGCTCAAGAACAAGGCCGACCCGAACGCCATGGACCAGTTCGGCCGCACGCCCCTACACTACGCTGCCTGGCATTGTCTTCTCGAGGTCGTTGAGTCTTTGCTCGAGAACAAGGCCGACCCGAACGCCAAGGACAAGGAAGGAGCCACGCCCCTAAATGAAGCTGCCAGGCAGGGTCATCTCGAGGTCGTTGAGTCTTTGCTCAAGAACAAGGCCGACCCGAACGCCATGGACAAGTTCGGCCAAACGCCCCTCTACCACGCTGCCAGGCAGGGTCTTCCCGAGGTCGTTGAGTCTTTGCTGAAGAACAGGGCCGACCCGAACGCCATGGACCACTTCGGCCGCACGCCCCTACACCTCGCTGCCAAGGAGGGTCATCTCGATGTCGTTAAGTCTTTGCTGAAGAACATGGCCGACCGGAACGCCATGGACGAGGACGGAAGCACGCCCTTACACCTCGCTGCCAACGAGGGTCATCTCGAGGTCGTTGAGTCTTTGCTCGAGAACAAGGCCGACCCGAACGCCAAGGACAAGGAAGGAGCCACGCCCCTACACTACGCTGCCTGGCAGGGTCATCTCGAGGTCGTTGAGTCTTTGCTCAAGAACAAGGCCGACCCGAACGCCATGGACAAGGGAGGACGCAAGGAAGGAGCCACTCCCCTACACTACGCTGCCACGCAGGGTCATCTCGAGGTCGTTGAGTCTTTGCTGAAGAACAAGGCCGACCGGAACGCCATGGACTAGTTCGGCCGCACGCCCCTACACCTCGCTGCCAACGAGGGTCATCTCGAGGTCGTTGAGTCTTTGCTGAAGAACAAGGCCGACCCGAGTGCCATGGACGCGGACGGCCGCACGCCCCGACAAGACGCTGCCAAAGGGGGGGCCATCTCTAAAGGGCATGCTGCGTGGGTCGATCCGCCACATGACGCTGCAGTAGATGGTCGAAGAGAGGCTGTGGAGTTCTTGGATGCTGCAGTTATTTAGAGGAAGAGCCATTCGCGGTGCTTTCGTCAAAAAGCAGCGTGGTTCTATTCAATCTCGAGCTTTCTGGTGTGCATATACGAGCCAACAGCACAATGCCGCTTTAAGTTCGGGAGGCCAGTTTGCCAATGCCCAGACTTGCCGGCCCTGGCCTTGGCGCTTAGGGGCTTGGTGCGGAAGAAGTCTTGTGTCTTCAAGCCTATGCAACAGGTACTGTAGTGTGCCCTAAACCCTAAACCCTAAACCCTAAAGGTACTGTAGTGTGCTGGGCTGCTTGTGTATGTCTGTATGTCTTGTTATTGAACACGGTGTGAACACGTGGTTGCAAGTATCGTAGACGGGCCAAGTTGCAGTAGTGACTGTGACTGGACTCCGTTCAGTTTATTCGGAGCATTTCCTACTTGTGCTCAGGGATGCATGTTGCAACTATTCCTGTACAGCAAGCCTGTAGAACACTCTGAAGGAGTCAGAGAGTCCGTGGCTGAAGATGGCAAGAGTCCCAACGGAAAGCAATGCTGTAGACAACTTGCTCCACGTGATTTAAATGCTGCTGTATCTCAGAAGGGGTGGGGCAACATACTGTAGAAGGTGTTTTGGACTTGTGGCTCTAGTTACGCTGCGATAAGTGCTTGCTTGCGAAACATCGAAACTCGAGCATCCTGGGTTGGTGTGTAGTGTGAGTCTGTCCGGGGGTGCTCCTTCTTGGCTCAGGTGAGTACGCATGTACTGCAACGCAGTGCTCGGCCTTCGGTAAGTTGCAAAAGCCAGCTTCTTGTGGTGTTCGGTTCCCTGGGTGAGTAGAGGCGGCCGACGTCCTAGTACTAGTACTGCGCTAAAACCTAATCTTCCCAATTCAACTGACCTTCTTCCTCCGCTTCTTGCTTCCGTAGTTGGTCTTGATCCGAGTGGGGCTATTTTTGTCGGCGGGCTTCTCCAAGTTCTCCGCTCAAGAACCTTCAATCCTTCGGAGCTGAGTTAGGATACCCTCAGAGGTATGCTCCGTCCCAGGAGTGATACAGTAATTCGTGTGCTCATTGGGGGCGACAGCCTGAAAGAAACATGCTTGATGCTTGGGTGCCCCTAGTAACTTGGCCCCGTCTTTGAAGGTTTCGGTGTTTAGGAGATCTTTTAGGGACTTGCCACCATCATGTCCTGGCGGTCCGGCACTTCCTGCCCAAATCATTAAACCCTAAACCCTAAACCCTGAACCCTAAACCTAAACCCTAAACACAAAGGTCGCTTGCTTCTTGGCTCAACCACACACGCACAGACACATGCACGCAGTCCAGCAGCCCAGCAGGGGTTTAGGGTTTAGGGGTTTAGGTTTGGGGTTTAGGGGTTTAGGGGTTTAGGTTTGGGGTTTAGGGGTTTAGGGGTTTAGGGTAAAGCCCTCAAGAGCCCGAAAATCCAGATCCTGAACCTCAAGGCCCTAAACCCCAAACAGTCCGCATGATGAAACCCTATGGCCCTAGATCTTAAACGCAAAACCCAGAGGCCCGAAACCCTGAGCCCAGTACTCATAATGTAGGTGCCGCAATAATTACCAATACCATGTTGGAGGTTCCTTATTGTAGTTATAGTACATTATGCCCTAAAACCCTTTCCTAACTGTCAAAGCCCCTTTTCCTATCCTCTACAACCCTAAAACCCTAACACCGAAAACACCCTAAAAATCCAGAATCCGAGACCCTTCGAATCCGAGACCTTCTAGAATCCGAGACCTCAAGGCCCCTATAGACCTCAGATAAACCCTAAACCCTAAACCCTAAACCCCTAAACCCCTAAACCCCTAAACCCCTAAACCCCTAAACCCCTAAACCCTAAACCCTAAACCCCTACGTGGTTTCAGAGCCTCGTCGGTTTCGACCATGGCTGGGCCGCCCAAGGCATCGGGAGCTTCGGGGGTTCCACAGTCGAGGGCTGTGTCTCGGATTTTTTAGGGGGTTTAGGGTCTGGGGGTTTGAGGGTTTGTGTCGGATTTTTTAGGGGGTTTAGGGTCTGGGGCTTTGAGGGTTTGTGTCGGATTTTTGTCGGAATTTTGGGTTGAGGGTTTGGGGGTTCTAGGGTTTGGAGGTTTTTAGGGTTTCAGGGCTTTCGGGATTCGGGTTTAGAGTTTTAGGGATTCGGGGCTCGAGGCCGAAAACAACTCAGAGCAGCGATCGCCTCCGAACCCTAGGCCTTAGACTCGAGACCCACGACCGCCAAGATCGAAAGCACAAGGCTACCAGCCCCAGTTGGCAAAGTTGCCCATGAGGTTGCGTAAGTGCTTGGAGCTGTTGCTGCTTGAATTGCCCTTCGGACGTGGCTAAGGTCTGAAAAACTGTAGGTTTCTGTTAGTAGCTTCCTAGAAGCATCGGTGCCATGCACGAAGCTATGACCTGGAACAGCTTGAAGCCTTCGGGGAAGTCCGGGGTGCGGGGGTGGCGGCGGTAGCCGCAACCGGACGAAGCTCAATCCGTGAGACTCTAAGCCCATACCGAATATAGGAGTCTAAATAAGTACCTATATTATTTTGGGGGTTCTTATTTTATATATATATATATATGGCATACTATACCCCCCAAACCTTATTCTAATTACTAATTATTAAGGCCCCTGCATGATACCAAGACCTATACCCTGGGTCCTGAACCCTGAACTCGAGCCTTACTTAACTGCATGTTTTGGACGTACTGCAGGACAGCCCTGAAGCTCCGAAACCTATGCATCTCATTCAGACCACAAGCAGCCTTGTACACCGGCTTCCACTGCCCCCACCCTAGTTCCTAGACCCAAATCCCTGCACCGAAATCGAAAATCCCGACCCTGAACCCGAGTCTCTCAGCACTCACCCTATCACCCACGGGTGTGCGATTACGTGTCGGCCCTTTCGTTGTGCAGGCGAGTCACCCTTGAAACTCTCTGCAAAACACTTGACTGCTATGAAAAATTGAAAATTTCAGTCCCTAAAAAGCCTCTGAGAGTTGGGCCCCAACAACTCCCTTGCACCCACAAGCCCGAATCCCAGCCATGGTCGAGGCTATGGCAGTAGAGTGCATGGTTTTGTGCTGAAAGCATAAATAAGCTTGCGCCTTTCCAGACCGACATGACAGCAGACTCTGCTTTGGAGATGAGAAGAATAATGAAGAACTCGCAGCAGTACTATTGACGACGCGAATGCCAAAACACGCACAACACACCCCTACTCCAAGCCCTAAGCCCTAGACATTAAGCCCCAAACCCAGCCCGAAGACTTCAGCCCCATGACCTAAACCCTAAACCGTAAAAAATTCCATTCTTGAGCACGAACTGCCTCGGCCTGCTTCGCCCGGCATCAAATCAGAGTTCTCAATCTCCTGCAGCATCTTGAGCTGCGATAGCTGCAACTCCCGACCCTAAACCCTAAACCCCAAACCCTAAACCCGCACACCCCAAGCCCTGCGTCTTCAAGATGTTGAGGGTTTTTATTCCAGCTTAGGGCTGAGGGTGTAGGGGTTTAGGGCTTATAGGGCTTAGGGTTAGGGTTTAGGTATGTGCTCAAAAGTCTTGGGCGGATTTTGAGGAGCAACTCAGCTTTTTTGAGCGCTAATCTCAAGCTTTCCTAAACCCTAGAACCCCTCTTTTTGGGAGCCCTAAGGAGGAACCCTAAAGCGGAACCCCAAACCGCTTTCATACACAAGTAGGTGGATCCTCAGACCCTACTCCGGTACTCAGGGTTTCCGAGCTCCAAAGTCCCATTCACACACCCGCAAAAATCCAGAACCCTAAACCCTAAAAAGCCCGAAGCCCCAAAGTGAACGGCAGACCCGCCCCTAAACCCGGAAGCCCAGCCCTAGATGAGCTTTTGAGACGCGAGCGTGCGCTCGCGCGCGCCATGTCCTCGCGCGACGGCGGAGTTGAGTTGGGCACAGCCCCAAGGCTGCTTGGACGGGTTGATGCTCTCGGATTTCCCGGAATAGGAAGAGAAAAGTTGCAACTCCATATATATATATATATATATTATACTATATATATATATAATACTATATATATATATATATATATATATATTCTCACGCCCTGGATGTAGCACAGAGGGAATCCCTGCAATGATCCCCCTTACCCCAGGTTCCAGCTTCCTTGGCTTCCCTGTAAGCTCGGAAGCACCGAAGTCGAAACACTCAAGTGCGAACGGTTTAGGGTTTAGGGTTTAGGGTGCTTTCGTGCCAGAAACGGGCTCAGTGGGGCTTCCGGCTTGTGAGTTAAAATTTTTGGGGCGGGGGGGGAGGGGGGAAGTGGGGGGCAGTTGCGAGTGGAGGTTTGGAGCGTGGGGCTTTCTTGGTGGCTCTTGGTTTACACTTGTATCATCCTTATCATGACTACTACTGTTATCTAGTATCATCATAACTGGTACTGTTGCTGTTTTGGGGCTATTGATCTTGTTGTATATACAGAGACCGCAATCAGGAGACAGAATTACTATGTTACCAAGTAGTTACTGAGTAGTAATCCGAAGCCCTAAACGCTAAAGAAGAGCCTCGGGTCTGCGCTAAGCTCAGCCTCTGAGCACTCTCAACTCCAATGCAGGCCCAATATCGGGGCCTGAAGAACTACCACTAGTATTCCTCAGGGTTCCTTTGTGTATGTATAGCATAATCTTCCCCAACACCCCATTCTAGGTTCTGAAGACCTCAGACAGAAGAACCTCGAATGACACATGTTGGCTTTCGGGGTGCGAGATTGAGGTGTGTGCCCGATTCGAAAGAGTGCCGTGATTTTGCATGATGAATGATGATAACTGATGA